CGGTGTGTTTCACTATTGTTGGCAAATATTGTAAATTGACTAATATATCGGCATATATTTAAATAATAAATCCAAAATATAATTTAACTACTAAATTTAAATTTATCGGTTAACTCAATTTCAGGCCATTAGAAATTCTAATATGAGCGAGTGTGGCTGAAGCTCAGTTTTTCGTAAGCTCTTATCATTCACATAAGCTTCTGAAACAGATAAAAAATCAAATCTAAAATAGATTCAGTAATTGTACAAAAAGTTTAAAATAAAGAAAGGAAATATTGAATGTAAAGATTTTAGGATACAGCAGTAGTAATTTAACCAGATATTTTACGCGAAATTTGACTATTAAAATGAAACGTGATGAGGCTAAGAAAGCCTCGTTACTGATTACATTGTTTTCGTCGTACTTTTCCAATAACTACATAAAATAAAGATTTGTTCATTTACTTATTGCACAGGTGATATTCTAATAATGTCTATTTTATGACTTGCAGAGGAAATCCTCCCGATGATATAGTAGATTATGCATTTCCAAAAAAACAATTAAAGGTCCACATGACAGACAGAACGAATTCTGTTACAGTGAATCGAAGGAGTGTGCATAACTCTTGTCGTGAGTATGTTATGAAACGGACTAACGATCATATTACTGCTTTATTATGGTCTTTTTTTAAAGAAATTATGCTTCACTATCACCATCTAGTAAGTAAAATAACTTTAGCTGATAATGTTTTCTGTTTGTTGGATTTCGCACAAAGTTACTTTAATGTTACCAGAGTTAACCGTACCTAATTAAAAGTTGATAGAATAGAGGGAAAACAGTTAGTTAACACCACTTACCCACCGTCTGTTCTTAGGCTACTTTTTACCAACGAAAATGCCCCCCAGTGGCACAGCGGTATGTCTGCAGACTTACAACGCTAGAAACCGGGTTTCGATACCGTAGCTTTGTGCATAATTAAAACAAACAAACAAACGAAAATTGGAATTGGCAGTGGGTGCTGTTAACTAGCTGTCTTCATTCTAGTCTGTCACTTCAAAATTAGCGACGACTAACAGAGATAATCCACGAGCAGCTTTGCGCGAAATTCAACTGATAAACTGTATCGTAATCGGATTAGATCTTTTGGTGTTTTAATAATCGTTCCAATTTTATTGATATCTTCGCATAATTGAGTGGGGTTTTTTTTTTGTGCTTATGGTGAAAGTTTAGTTTCTGATAATCGTACAGGATTTAAGAGCTGTTTAGTTGTTGGAAATTGAACAAACACTTATACAATTTAAACTCATTTTGGTGTATTCAGTTCTACGCTAGATAAGTTCCGTAAGCTCTATCCAATAACTGATCTGTACACTGGATAGCTTGAATCAGGTCGTGAAAAGTCAACTACACCAAGTAATGATTTGCTATCTGTTATACGTAATTATTAGGAATCGCCAGCCTTCAATATTGATTTCAGAACGGAAAGTGGAGTGATTATCATCGGTGATCAAAGAGGGAGGATCAAATTTGTTTAGTCACTGGAGATGATCTTCTTCACAACCGCAGTTAAATTCACACTGGTTCCTAGCTAGTTTGGACTTTCAAGATCACCAGAATTGCCGCAAAACAAGTAGGCTATTGTACTCTTCTTAAATGAGCCAAGGTTCCATTTCATTTCAATAACCTATGAGTTCGTGGTGGGAGTTCTAGGAATGGACAATATGCTTGGTGGCGATTCAGCCATGGTGTGGGGAAGGTGTCGATAGAAATAAAGGGACAGATTTTATTGCAACATATTGTTATGGTATTGGATCCATGTACGACCTTGTGCAGGTGCAATCAGACCAGATATGTTTTGATAGAGGATAATGACTGGTACCATGCTGTCGAAATTGTGATTGGCTTCCTTGAACAAGAAACTATAGAGGTCATGAACTGTGTTCATTTGATTCAAAAACAATTTAATTATAAAATATTGACTCCTTATTTATATTTTGTAGTAGTTTATATTAATGTCCGCCAGTAAACTTACTTATGTTTGTGTCTATAATAAATTCTCGTTGGAATATTTGTTCTCTTTGCCTTCTTGTACCTGATGGATGTGTCTGTAATTTTCATTTATACATTTTTACCTTGATATCGTCTCTCTTTCATAAATCTTGAGTATTAGTGCTTTTTAACTAGTACTTATCTGAGTATTTTTGGCAACGCGTTTAATGAGATTTTCCTGCTTTTCATTTTCGACAGTTTTTTAGCATCAAAACCGGGTATTGCAAAAGAGTGGAAAAGTATAAATTAGCATTTGTATATTTCTTATTACTGTGTCCGTTGAAAATCATTGCTTACTTAAATAGGAATAGATCTATAATTACGTTTTAATGGCAGAATTAGCGGTTAATTTATATAGCTATATATTTTAAAGTAAAATCCAAGATTTTAAATTCTTAAACTCTTGAAAAATTGTATTTAAAATAATTCGTAGTTTGATACGTTTTTGCAACTCTTAAATGGGATTAACAAGATCTTTTCCACAGCTATGCCGTGGTTTGGGATGGACATTGGAGGCACTTTAGTAAAGTTGGTTTATTTCGAGCCACACAATCCTTCTCCATCAAATAACTTTTCTCAGGTACAGACTTTGGAAGAAATAGAATTTTTTTTAAAGAACAATGAAACGTGCAGGAAAGGAGGAGGAGGAAAAGACACGCATCTTAAGGTAAGTTCAAATATATAAACAAACATTTCAGAACAATGCACAGCCAAGCAAAACTGTTATAAGATGACTAATGAATGACAATTCAGTTCAACAACGCATTCTAAAATTGAAGATTACTTTTGTATTTTTTTCAATTATTTCCTCATTTCTCAGTCAATTATGGGTAATATTCCGTGAAAATGAAATATAAGTTTAAACTAAAATAACGCGTTTTCATATGTTATTTGAGAGTGTACAGTGTAATTGTTTATTTTCAACAAATAATTATACCAATAAAAAAAATATTCTTATTTCCTCGACCAAAAATGTTCGGGGTGCATTGCGATGACGTTGCCCGTCCGTCAGTAGACCCCTACTTTCCACACGATAATTAGTTCTAAACAGCAGATTTTATTTAAAGTTTATCGGGTCACTTTTCTTTGAGATGTGGAAGCATCTCTTTGACTTTGGGGTTAAAAGGTCAAAAGTAAAAAATAAAAATTTGGTTTCTGTGAAAACGAAAACACAATCACAAAACGCGCGCGCGCATAAACACCATATTTGTCAACACGCTAAAACAGCAACAAAAAACTAATGGTCGATTGGATCAAGTATTCCACTAATGACAGTATTTTCAAACCACTTTTTTTATACCTCTGTTAGAATTGTATTCCAAGGTTCAGGAAGGACCTCTTGGTTACCCGATTACCACAGTAACAAGCGGCTTGCTGACCTAGTATGTTGAAAGCGGGCGTAGAGATATTTTACAGGTGGAATAATGGGGACAAAACACAGTTTGAAGACAAACAAAAATATAAAAAAATTATTAATAAGCAGAACAAAGACTGTCTCAGAATTGTTTTAAGGAGGGTGCTCACTTTCAAACCACCAGTTTTGAAATGATATATTTATTATAGTTAATAAATATCTTCCGTGTATATTCTAATAGTTACTGGCCAACTTGTGTACATTTCTTATTGTTTTAAAGTAGTTCAGATTAGAGATAAGTATTCAGCTATCTAAATATGACTTTTCTTAGTAGATATTATGGTTAAATGAAGGGCTCGAGGCCCTCAAGCCTCGGGAAATAACAGGCGAGACTACAACAACAAGTCCTGACTCTTTTAGGATAGAAACAAATGTGCTTGCACAATGCCAAAACTGTGCCCATGATCCACATTCTTTGTGGCTGACCAATCACAAAACTAGACCATTAGTATTCGAAGACACCTCTACTTCACATGACAGCCAAAAGTAATGTATGATACAATTCGAGTATCACTTGAAACCGTCAGTAGACTCAACTGAATATTGCTAAATAAAGTAAATGCTATGATTGAATAAGCCCGCAGCCTCAACTGTTTAATATATTTTGAATTAGAATGATATAAGAAATATAAACATTTAGCAAAAATATGAAGTATGTAATAAAGGAGAGAGAAATATGTGGAACCTGCATACCACACCAAAATATTAATGTTATTCTAGTATCAAATTCCTAAAACTTGCAAATAAAAGGTGTTAGTTACTTAAAAGTTGTAGTTCACAATGACTTAGTTAAAAAAGAAGAAAAAACGACTGTGATTTACCCACTTATTTTGTCTTTGCTTTATCAAAAAGTAAGTAGAACTGTTTGTCGATAACTAGTAAAATTTCAAAGGTCTCGTAGCATTCTTTGTCTTAATTAACCGTATATCCCTAAGCAAAAATGCTTAACAAATACAAGCTACACTTCATTCATTCGTTTTTTTTCTGTCTATTTTTACAGATTAAGAATATATACATTCATGGAAATCTAGGTACCTTACACTTTTTCCATTTCCCAACCAGTGAAATGGACATGTTTCTACAATCTGCGAAATCTAAAGGAATGTCATTGTTACCTTGTACTGCTTGTGCAACAGGTGGAGGAGCCTACAAGTTTGAGAGTGCGTTCAAAAAGGTAGCGTCTGTTTATATATAGAAATTCACATGAGGTGCTTTGCAATAACTGATGAAACATCTAATTAATTATCAAAGTAGCTTCTCACCTTGGATGCATGGACTAGCTTATTCTCATCATAAGAATTGGATAATTTGATTGTCGTGTCGCACCACGCTAACGTATATTTATTCTACACTTGTATACATAAATTTGTTGATATGAGTTTGAATGAAAAAAAAAGGAAAAACATATAAATGAATATCATCGTAAATACATGTAAGATAAACTTATAATTCGATTTACTTTTAATTCAAAGTCATATAAAAGAACATTTGTCCTGCCTTTCAGGAGCTAGAAAAATTAAATTTATTTAAAGTTTATTAGATAAGTACTTCTTTTTGTAAAAAGGTGTGAAAAAAAGATGCGGCCAAAAAAGGATTCAGTGTGAGACTTAAAGGAATGAAATCGAAATTAGTGGCCAAACTGATAGCTACACTTATAGCATTGACAAGAATTTTACAGCAAATATTCATTCATTAGTTAACCAGCCGCGTATTTTGTTTTACTCCCATCATGCCCCTGGTTAACTAATAAATGAATATTTGCTGTAAAATTCTTATCAATGTTATAAGTATAGCTACCAGTTTGGCCACTAATTTTGATTTCATTCCTTTTTCGGCCGCACCTTTTTTTTCACACACCTAAGGTGTTTTTGATTAGATAGCATCAATTTTTCTCAATACACACCAACACACCACAGCAAGTAAGAAAGTGACACACTATAGTAACCAACATTAGCTTTAGGATTGCAACCCTATTACTCGGAACAGACCTATACTTTACAGAACCAACCAGATTCTTTAAAATCTGGGGTGGTAGTTTTTAGCCGCGTTATAGCCGCTCATTGAATGGTTCTGTTGGGTTTTTTTCTTTTGTTGCTGTTGTTGTTTTTTCAAGTATAAACATTTAACTCGTAGCTTCGTCATCTCTTGACCGATTTGAGATCTAATTACAGTTTGGACTCTTTCTCGTAGCTTAATTTATATAATACTGCGTTAAATAATTTCAATTTGAGGGTAGACTAGTAGAGATTCTGATGAGTAATAAAATCGAATCAGGTATACGCGCGCCCCACGCTTGGTATTGCTGGCGCACAAAAATATAGCTAATAAAAAGGGGAAAAAAGGTCTCATAGATTAATTTACTCTAATCCTGCCTGTAAGAATTTCAAGTACCGCGGCTATTGAGGATTCCCTTTGGTTCCTCTCTAAAACAATGTTAATAATTTCTTTTATTGTAACATCATAGAATCTAGATTAGCAGTTATTGTCATTAACCGCACGCACTCGGTACAGCCGTATCAAGCATCATTATTTACGTTAATTGCTTAAGTTAATATCACTTGACACTAAACGCTCTATAATCAGGAGAATTTCATAAAATTTGGCAAATTTGTTTTTAAAAGCTGGCAATGAATAATAACCGCCCACCCATATGATTCTTTTGAAAACTTGAACTAGAAACTTATAATCTGATTTGCTTGGCCTGACCAATATTTGTGTATTTGCACGACCTTTCACACTATAGTTTTGCTGCCTTAAATCAGCCGTCTTTAGTCCGAATGACAAAAACTAAAAATGGTCCACTTTTACTCTTTGGTGAAGCTGTAGTAAAAATTTCAGTCCGATAGCTCACATAACTTTTTGCGTAGACGTGCGCAAAAATGTTGGTCAAATTTGAGCGGTTTTTGTTGAATAACTTTGCACATGTGGCTTATATTTAGACCAAATTTGACACTTAACTATAGGTTGTAAAGATCTATTAATGTACAAAATTTGAAAAAAATCCATAAAAGTTAAGTATGTTTTTTCTATCAAATAAAGTTTGGTACTTTCGGTGCAAAAAACAAGAGAGGAAGATCTTCAAACAATAGTGAAGATGTTTTATCTCGTGTATTTCTCATTGGATTGCATTAAAATTTGGTGTGTGAAGTCTAGTAGAGCACATCCACTGAAAATATGTGATAGTTTGGATTGCCACAATCCGAGCCACGGGAAGTTGAAAATCGCTAAACTATCACACCTCTTAATATCACATAGCGTGCCCTGCATGTTGTTTTTGCTGCACGACATTATGGTGTGTCTTGATTTTGGTAAGTAGCGGAAAAGTTACAATGTAAGTTTTATTATTGTACAATCTGTTTTATTCAGTGGTTAGCGTGCTGGACTGTAAATTCGAGGGTTCACGATTCGAATCGCATTCTGGAGTCGCAAATACAATATAAGAGTGACTGTCAAATCTTACTTGTAGATTAGAGTAGGCTAAAAGTTGTTGCCTTCTCTCTAGTCTTTGAGTTCAAAATTAAAGACACTTCTGCAGATAGCTCTAGTGTATCTTGACATGAAACAAAAAAACAAACTAAAAAACGTTTTGTTGATGGGATTCTCGGTGTATCTATCTATCTATATATATTTATCATGGGGTCTATGTTATTGGAAAATCATATGGTAATTGTAATTCGATTTCATAATTTTTTCAAACT